TCGCTACCGATTGCATGGAAAACTGGGCCGGCCCCAGAGCTGATTTGAATTCTATTGTGTCGTGTAGAGCCTTTGCTATGCAACGACTGCGAGGCAGAACCAGAGGCGTTTCTAGGCAACGTCTCGGTAAACACGTTCCCTCGGGGCAACGAACACGCATGCAACAATCGATTGTTGGAAATGGGATGTTTCTGCGTGGCCCGTGCTGAGATGTTATAAGCAAGGGGAAGAGTTAGTTGTGAAACGATGGCCAGCCGGGAATATCGTGAGGGCATGAAGCTGAAGAATCTCCGCTGTTAGAAACCGTTGCCAGGGAACGGCTAGTGAAGATAATGCAGGCTGAAAAAGGCTTAGCGAATGCTGTGGTGATTTGTGAACTGTGGAGATTAGCGGTAGCGGTGAAATTGCTTGTAATGCCAAGTGGCGTGTATAAGTGGTCAGTAAATATATTCACCAATTGAACCCCCGTCTATAGTCACACAATAACACATGGCACTATGAAGAAGAGAAGAATATCTTGCTCATGCCAGGAATGGAACCCTATTGCCTCGGTCGTCCAAGTTGCTGTACCGACTGAGACATCTTGACTTATATTGAAGCCTTTTCTTAAATGATCATTGCTTAGCAATCGAGGTTATTGGTTCCCTGTCTGGATGATCGGCTCATGGCCTAAATGAACCTCCAGTGGCAAAAACTTCACTCATACCGAAAAAGAAAAAAAAACAGTGGTTGAAAATGTTAAGGGAATACAAATTGACATACAAGCGGTGCATGGTGTTAGGGCTCGTTTTATTTTCAGATATGGGCTCTCAAACGTCACCAAATTTACACATCATACGAATACATTCTATTGCCATAAAGGATCTTAGACGTACATTTACAATTAATGGAATCATTTCGTGACATGAATGACCACAAACAAGTTTGTAAACAATTTTATATTATTGTCTAAAACTATTATTTTGAACTTTTCGTCGTTCCGAATTTATTGAAACAATTTAAAACAAACTCCGTGGTTTTAGTCCGCAAGCGAACTATACCGACCGAGCGACCGCCGCTTGTAGGCCAAGTTAGTGCCAACTTTAACGGATAGAGGATGTCGCATGGTCAGCGCAACGGACACCCACGGCCGTTAATCTCGGTTTTCTAGACCAGGACCTCTGTTTCCTTGAAATAGCTCCTCAATTATCCTCACGAGGCTGCTACAGATCCAGGGGTCCGGGTTCAATTCCCGGCGCTACCAGATTTCCTGAGAAGTAGTGAGTCCGGAACGGGGAGGATAACTGAGTAGTTATTTCAAGGAAATAGTGGCTCTGGTCTAGAATTTGTACGCGAGATATCAGCACCTCCCTGGTACGATTTCTGAACAGTCTCTTACAGGAGAACTGTCTCATACTGGACGACTTTCCTATATTGTTAACAGACACTAGCATGAGAGCCTCAGAACATAAATATTGGTTATATGTATGTATTACTTGTTTCTGAAATGGAGGTTCTAGCCATTTCTCTTCTTCCGGCCCACTAACAAGACCCAGCATAACATCCTTCATCATCTGGGTCGTAATATCCACCTCCGCCCATACACACACGGTGGAGTGCATTTAGACTAATGTCACACCAGTAATAACTGTGACAGTCTTTTGGGTCCGCAAAGTAACCCTGAGCTGTGCATATGAAAGCAGGGTCAGTTTCTGTATTCGGGGCTGATGTTGTCTCATCGGGGTCTTGAAGACAAGGCCCTACAATACAAATACGCTCAGGATCGAAGCGGGCGATTGTAGTGCAGCTGCTATGAAGTCCAGTCAAATCGTCGTCACATACGTAAAAACTGTGGCAATCTTCTGGATCGGCGAAGAATCCACTTGATGGGCATTTAAATATTTCGGGGTTCGAACAGTGTTCAGCTAGACACACCCTTTGGACGGCATCAAATGTGCCTTCACCTTTCAGGCATGTCCCAATCACAGGAATTAGGTCTTCTCCACAGCTGTAATAGTTGTGGCAGTCTTTGGGGTCCGCGAACAGCCCTACGGAGGGGCACATGAATGCGGGAGCTTCGGTAACAGATGGTTCCGGAGCACCGGAGCATGACGCCACCCTGCACACCTGACTTTCGGCTTCGTAAGTTCCAGTACCGTCCATGCAAGTTCCGAGGTTCGGTACCAGGCTGCTGTCACACGTGTAGAAGTTGTGGCAGTCCGTTGGATCCGGGAATGTCCCGACTCCGGGACACTCGAATGAATGCGGCACAACGGCTGCACACCTGGAAAACTAAGCATTGCACCCGGTGTGTGATATCACCGCGGTGATTGTGGTCACAGTTACACAAACTTTTCATTAATCCATTGACAACATAATTCGACCCGAATAGAGCATCGTCAGGTGGTTTTTGAAGAACAATCAAGTGGTGATGGAATACATATAAACGTATAATAATAATAATAATAATAATAATAATAGTAATGTAGAAGGCCGATTACCTGAATTAATTAGTGATAAATATGGTTCAGATATTTGGATTAAATTCTTACCCACAAAGAAAAACACTATCGTACTGTAATATTATAATAATAAAAACCAGAAAGACAAAAGAGGTGAAACGTGAAACATTAATGTAATTAAATGTAATTATTTTCAAATACGTGTATATGTAATATTCACGATTTTACATATATGCGTAATGGTTGGTAATATTTTCGTTAGATCTGTGTACATTATACACGAGGATTCTGTCCGTCTGCGTTTTTTGCAGATTACGACTTACAGTACGTAGTTATGCCCTCTGTGTCTTGCACGTGATACCATCTCCTGACAGAAATGCTGTAGGGTAAGTCGGGGTGAATCCGACCACAAAATAGAAAATCAGCTTGTGAGCGAGTGAAAAGTTATCCCCACCTCATTTCTGGTGAGGCTGACTCTCCTCAAATAATATATTGTGACGTGTTGCGCAATGGAAGACACCCTCTCCCTCCCCAGCGGTGACGTAGCAGCTCTGGCCACGGTGACGTAGCAGGTGAGTCAGCGCTCCCCCCCCCCCCCCCTGCGTGGCACCGCTTCCTACTGTGACGTGGCACTCAACGTCGCTGTTGACACGGGCAACAGGCAACAGCGAACGGAATAAAAGCCGGCTGAGCAGCAAGCGGGTGTTGGTTAGTGTGTGATCAGAAGTGACACAGTTGGAGTATAGCAGCCGTCGCGGAAAGAAGAACCGTGCGTGTGTGTAATTGTGTAATTGGGAGTGTGTGTGATACAGTGAACTTGTATAGCTCCCGTATCGAAATTAATACGTGTAGACTACTGAGGACAGAGTGATTTGGTTATTGCGAATAGGGTTATAAAGTGTGAAACCCCGCAACAGTGTTGTAATTAATTGTAGCCGAGACTGGTAGGTTGTTAAATAAACCAATTAACAATCCGAACGGCGTCTTCAGTGTCTAAACACGTTACATTGGTGTCAGAAGTGGGATTCCAACACAAGACACGTTACTATATATATATATGTATTCTGTTATGATTGCATTTCATTCTTTATCGAACCATGTAAAGGCATTCCATTGTCCCATTCACCCTCAAGCCAGTGGGAGAACAGGACAGAACTGTTCTTGCTGCCTTGTTACTTTCTTCACCAGCGGTGAACACGGTTTTGGCCGCATTGGAACTCCTGACATTAATATGCGAAATTATTCTGCAACTCAGGAATGTTCGTGTTACTTTCAGAATGTCTGCTACAAGCCTAAAATTTGTACCTTGGAGTAAAGCTCTTAANGAATTCATATATATAATCAACTTTCCCACCTCCAATCCCGATAATCCCGACCGAGCGAGGGCTGAACTGACACAGGCGCAGTGGCAGCCGAAGACAAAGAAAGACAACAGGGATAGGCACCTGCCACACNGGAGGAAGCACACACAAACCAGGAGCATATGACAGTCAAAAACTGAAAGCAGACCACGAATGTGAGGGGCAAGCTGCCGAGAAAAACACCTTGATANTGATAAAGTGTATTAATGAAGTGTTAAGTCGCTACCTGTAAGCTATGGGAGGAGTGGTCAAGGAGCAAGGACTACCTGCCAGGGAGTAGTGCCCACAATTGAAAGGACAGAAAATAGATGGTGGCAGCTTTTACCGAGAAGGAAACCCCGAAATAGGAGAATCCTAGCTAAAGGAGAGCTAGGATGATTGTGATACTCCTTACAGAGCAAGTGACGGTGGAGGCAAGGAAGGATACCTCCACGGCCCCCTAC